ACTTCGCTTTCCAAGGACTCGCCACAGGACTGCATAATTGGTACGCATATTTCCTGTAGTTCTAAACGCACCGCAAGATTATCGCCCCTCATTATCCTCTACAATATTGTTATGCTTCTTGATGTTGTCTGTACGAACACAGTGTTAGACCGCTTTCAGTTATCACTATCAAAACTCACTAAAAGGGTAATTACCCGTTCCATTTTTACCATATAATCACTTTGTCCTTCATGTTGGTCATACGGGCAGTGTTGTGTGTGTGTGTGTGTAATCCTAAGAGGTTAGAGCACGTGACACACCTCAGCCAGGCGTGAGATAACCTGCCTTTGTATGGTGTTAAGACTCCCGCTCAGCCTCGGGTTACGCTTAGCTACACTGGGTACTGGGGCGGCAACACTCCCCTCTTACCTTTGTTTTTCTTCGGTGTATTGACTGACAACTGAAATATGTGATTTGTAAAAGATTGATTTTTTCTTTAATAATTTAAATTTATTCACGCATGAAAAGATGGAACACATTTACGTGTCTGAGGACCTGTTGTGTGCACCATGACAATGTGGATACGTAGATAATATCTATTAGTGATTTTTTTGTGATTAAATGATAAACGACCATTATGATCATTAACTAACACATTTCACTTGATTACATGATATATAAAGGAAGGCGGTAAGAGGATAGTGTGCATGCACTGTACATTGATGGTAAATTGCCACTATTAAACAGGAGTTATTTAAAAACAATGAAAGTCAGCAGCTGGAGGGGGGGGGGTACCGCGAGTAATTTTGGTCGTAAGGTTTGTGTGGCAGTTTAATGTGTCCTCAGCACTATTAGTTTCGCTGTCACTCAACACACACTAGACATTCATCATGTAGCTAAGGTTCCGGATTTTCAAAGACTCGTAGATTAATTTTTGTCCTTGCATGGTACTGTGAGACCGCTTCTAACTGGCTCAGTCCAGCTACGGCGTACAGGTAGCGGCCGGAAGTGTGTCAAATATTACTCCTGAGCTTACCATAGATAGACCCAAATCCTTATTTATAGTTACGCGAGGGGGGGGGGGGGACATAACGGATAAGAATCCAGACTAAAGCTAAGAAACCATCATTTATAGATGGTCTGGCCTCGAAGAAACGAAGCGTTGGCACCCTGGCACCGTCTTCGACTTTGATTGCAAGTTTTTTTTATGTTTAGCTCAGTAGTATAAACCTGACGAACGTGTGTATGGCAGCTTCCGGTGATCTTGTTAAGTCACAAAATAACAATTACAGATACGAATACAGGTACAGTATGTGGTTTTACGAACTATACTGTCATAATAATACTTTCAGCTTACGACACAGGAATGTCATAATTATGGTGTTGTGAACTGGAGACACACCTAATGTAGCGTCACAACCTCAACTGTCCGTAGTGTGATATAAACTGATGAAAGTAAACAAACGAGCTAAAGAACTATCGTTTTGTCAGTCTAGTGGAGTATCGCCATTGTTTTGATGCGACGGGAGGCTGTGCTGTAGATGTTACGAACATTATATATACTGTATATATATATATATATATATATATATATATATATATATATATATATATATATATATATATATATATATAAGTGATACTCGGTTACAATACAAAAAAATCTGCGATGAGACAGCGGGTGGAGGGGGAGGTTCAGTACAGAGATAAAATACAAGAATGTGGTTAAGTTAACAGGAGTGTATGTGTGTTCAGTTACATACACATGCTTATGAGGAGATGTTCGTGTAAATGTGTGCGTTGTGTAGAAGTGTTCCTCACCATTTACAGACACGCGTGCGTTTGTATGTGTATGTGTGTGTGCGTGCGTACGCTTCACCACCATTCATCTGTTTATGAACGGGGTGAGTGGGTATGTGGGCGTGTTTATGCATACCGCATGTTGTGCACCTCAACGTGTGTATGAATCCCATGGCTTGACGAGTGATGTCAAGGTACAGTAATAATATGTCCCCTGGCTTGTTATATAACTGTCGTGGTTTGAATGTGTATTTCAATTCAACTTTCACATCTTATTCGTGGTTAATATATGTATAAGTTTGTCGAAGTCAGAGCATATAGTTAGATGGTTATATATTAAGGGCCGTTTTATAACTAATTAGATATATAATTGATACATAATTGACGAAGTTAAATTTGTCGTGGATAAAATTTGCATATTCAGTCGCCCTTTTTTGTCTAATTTGGCGCCTACTTGATATATGATTTACAAAGTTATATTTCGCATATGAAATTGTTTTATATATATATTTTTTTGGATAATCTCTATGCTTAGAAATAGTTTATAAAGTTACTTTGGTTATCTAGTCTTTGTTAGCCTGTGTATTGGGTCACTTGTTGATACTTGTACAAAACAGTCATGATTAGAATTTGTTGATGAGAACACTTCTTGAAATTTGTGCATGATTAATTTTTTTCAGTGATATGTAAGCATTAGCATTAATGTACTGCTTTTAGATGTATCTCAGTCTTTTTAACATTAACATTATGCGCCAGACAGAGATATCCTCAATTTTTTTCCAAAGTAGTAAGGCTCCTTTACACCATACACTTGTTGTCCACCACTGTTTCTGCCTCTTTCAAGCCAGTTATATTATTTTATACCACATACATCTTGGTGTATTATTTCAGGCCAATATTTTCGCACCACAGTGTTTATTTTATTGAGACAAGAATCGCATCCCCCTGAAATTATTATAGTATCCTTTCCAGACCATGATCATAGCTGTTCATAGTGTACAGTCCCCTTCACTTGTGCGTTTACAGGGGCTCGTCAGGTTTTGTGCAGTGTGACAGCCCTGTGTTTGTTTACAATCCGACAGAACATACTATGGAATCAAAGTAAAACGATATTAAAATAAATATCTCAATGTAATGATTTATGGAATGCTTAAATGATGAGCCTCAGTAAACGCACTAGTGAAGGGGACTGTACGTGTACCCCTTTCAAACCACCAGCTTTCTTTTTTTTCATACAACAAACGTACCCTTCCTAGAGCTCCGCCGTACCCTTTTCAGGCCACCATTGAACCTTAATCACACAACTCGAGACCCTTTGCTCACTCACAGCGACTATTCATAAGACGCGTTTGGTGTAAACATCTTCGTTCAGAATGTTTAAGTAATTCCTAAATGTTTCACACACTCGATCTATGTTAAGGAACATTAGTAAGTCAGTTCATGGGAGGATTTCTTGGTATCTGTTAATACACGCATGTTATATCAAGCAGTGGGGAGATGTTTCTTTTTAGAATTCACTATAAGCTGTTTGGGATTGGTCAATTGCGACGTGATCAACGCGTACTCTAAAAAAGCTAAGTTTACCCTCTCCGTTTTCTGTGATTCTACTACGCGCCCGCTGGCCTAGAAATGTTGATGCTGGTAAACCATTAACATTGGGTTTGGATGGGTTAAATTGTCTTCAAGAGCCACGAAAATAAGAACTATAAGTTTTCAAACAGTAAACATGATATTTTAATACAGTGTAAAAAAAAAAAATAAGTAACTGTAGACGTATTGAGATACTGTATATATTCGTACAATACAAGGATGCGTATAAAATATTTACCTTATTTACTTAATGGCCACCCAAACTAGAGGTGGCCATACCGAGGGAAGAAGGCCAGTGAACTATGTGGGATCCCTCCATTGTTCTTGATAATTGTGTCAAGGGCTTGATTCCACAGTGATGGAGTGAAGAGTGTTTAAAGGTGAACTAAGTTACCGGTAGGTGTACAGCCCGGATGTTACGTGCGCTGGTCAGTACATCACGAAAGCTCTCCATGTATCATGTATGAGGGAAAATTTAACTTGGAACAGACAGACAGACGTACACACGTGTACACTGATACTCGCGTACGTGAATACACGTGTACAAGATACACATGTATACACATACACTTGCGTACACAGGTACACGTACACACACTTACATGGATACACACGAACACATACACACGATTACACCGATACACGCGCTTTCACGGTCATACATGCGTACATGCACACATAAACTTACTCAAAGGTGAGTGGTGTAAGATAATGAATGAGCAGGTGAGAGTCCCGGTAAGAGATAACGTGCTATTATTAAATAGTGATGTGAGGAACGACCAATCCGCGGGGCCTGGTCGTACCGTAGTGGTGACCAAGAGGACGCTTTTCCTAATGCCTGACACGGAGCGATCAGTCATTATGGTAAGATGTACAATATTCGCTTAAATTATTCAAGGTGTTCAAGGCAAAAGGTTTTCAGTTGTTGGAATCTATATAATCATATGATATAAAAACAACAGACAGGATTGATTGATTGATGGGTTGTTTGCTGGCTTGATTTATTATTTGATTGATTGATTGATGGTGGTGGTAATAACATCCCTGGCGACGCAACAGCTTATGTCATATGCCGCCGAACACAGGTAGGAGGTTGCACAGTGTGTTAGCCCAGGGTATGAATAACTTATGGCAGGGTAGTGGACATTAACAGTGGAGACACAAGCCCCGCGCCTCAGGTCCCGCTGTACACGTTATACCTCGAGGTCTTGATGGTCGACGCCTCACGTGTCTCTCTGCTGCCCGACATAATAAACACGGGAAGATGTCGACGTTTTAGGGTTAATTAATTCATCAGGTTAACATAGTTTTTTTATAGTAGTGATTTACACACAGTTTATTAATCAGATAATATGTCAGGTATCAAATGTAAGTATGTATAGTTACTTTGACTACTGTTTTAGCATCATTGATAATATTATCACACTAGATCATTACTTTAAGGGTTATTATGATCTTTAATAAGCCCAATTTAACACTGGCGTTACTATTAGCAAACCAGACCAATATAACCAGGTTCCATAGTGGCTGTGAGGTTTAAAATGTTTACACGATGATATCCACAGGTTACATGTCATCTGACCCAAGAGCCACCACAACAGTGTTAACGCCTCGTCTCTTACCTCCGCCAGGTGTCGTCATCGTCATGGTGCAGTTCGAGGGTAAATATCAACATGAAAGATCAGACAACTTCGACGAATTCCTCAAGGCTATTGGTAAGTTCCCCCCTCCCTCTCTCTCTCGCTCTCTCTCTCTTTCATCATCAGTCTGTATCTGTCGTAACTCTGTCCTGTTCACTCAGTACCTAAAGACGTCACAGTTTCATCTCTCTTGTAGTTGGTCATCTTTACTTCACTCTTAGTATCCAGGGGAGGTTGTGTCCTTAGTCCACTTCTACTGTATATCTTCTCACAGTATGACATATCTTGTTTTGGTTCACTTATTTTTTTTTCTGTTTCTGTGTTGTGGCTTATACTTTATTGTTTAATTTAGTAAGCGTGTGTGTGTGTGTGTGTGTGTGTGTGTAAGCCCTTGTTGCGGAGTTATTAAGAAACACCACGTATAAGGGGAGACAAGCCTATGTATAATACAGGGGGTGTAGTCATGTTAGTACTCATCACGCGCGCCATCTGTTGTGACGTCGATGCACTAATTACAGCGAGGTGTTGTGATGCCGGGCGGGTGATGGCGTACCTCTGCTGCTCGCCACTCCTACTGTCCCCCCTAGAATGCTAATGACATACGGAGCTTAGTCTAAAAAAATTCTAAGGTTCGTAATTTTATTTAGCCATTGAGATGCATTCTCATTTCTCCATTAAGGGAGAATGTATCGTACCAGTCTTTTGTGATTCCCGTACCCATGGACACACAGACGGACGGTAGACACTAAAGTAAACGGATCATTTAACTCATCTGGGGTAATGTCCACCCACCAACTTTATATAAATCCATATTTATTTATTCAAGTTATGTTCACTGGATGCCCGGACGGCCGGACGGACGGACGAGTGGGCATTATTTCCACACCCCTTGTTGCTGCCTTCCTGCACGACGGGGACATAAAGATAAATAAAGAGAGAATAAATTTTAATGAGTGTCCTGCCTCTAGCTTACGTGCAGTGAAGGAATGTCCTGGGATAACCATCGCTCCCTGAAGCTCTCTTATTAGTGTACAAGTCAAGTGTCAGGCAGCTTCCCGCCCCACCTGGGTGTGTGTGTGTTAAGGACTACGTAATTGCTTGTGGTTATGGGAGTTTTTTTTACATTCATGAGTAAGCTGAGATGCAGCAGTGGACCTGCGGCCACACTGGCAAGCGCGACGACACACACACACCCTCGTGTTGATATTTCCTCGACGTACTTGTGTCTTACTCAGGACCCTAGTACTGTGCTTTTCTCCTCCACTATTATTCTCAGCTGACTCTCTAAGAAGGGATATAAAATGTGGCGGGCGTCTTCGCGCGCGCGCGCGCGCGCGTGTGTGTGTGTGTGTGTGTGTTTGAATATGATAACTCAGACCAATATAGATAGAATCCAGCTTGATAATGGTAGCCTCTATAGAGATATATTACAATAAGTTTTCAAAGAAACATGATAATCAGTATTCTCCTCATTACTGATTAGTTGTAACCTCGTGGACTCTGGTATGGTGGAGGACCTGACTACTACCTTCAAACACTTTGTTATTCTTGAATTGCTATCTTTATACCACTCAACATGTTGCAATGTATTAATATAGATGCCTTACTTCTTGGTGTTGTGTGTCCGTTTAGTGTCTCTCTCTTATAATATAATCATGTCTTTTATAGCCTCTCTCTTATCCGTCCTTTATATAGTTGAGTCTTGTATAAATAAAATTAATGAGCACACACACACACACACACAGTAACAATACAGTGTGCGGGTCTGAAGAAGTAACTCTCTATGCCTCTCAAAACATCGCTGTCGTGCCGTGGTCATGTAGTCTCCCCCAGGGTGCCTGCAGTTATTAAAATGCACACATCACCCGCCAGAGTCCGCCACATGAAAAGTAAACAGAAAAGTGTGTGAGCCATGTGAAGGAGGAGCAGCCAAGCCTCCGAGGAGATACGTCACACCTTAAATTCCCCTCATCAGCAAGTCCTCGCCCGCCGCCCAGATGTTTTTCTCTTTCAAACTAACCCACGTAGTTTATCGACAGCCCCGCCAGCATATAAACAAGATTGCTAAACTTCTGTCATTGAAGTTCAAGTACCAAGGCTGGCCAGATGTGATCGTGCGGTGGTGAGTTGTGGCGTGTCATGCGTGCAGTAGCAGCTTTGATGATACGATATATGCGCAGGTGAGGCTCAGGCGCACGTACGCTTTCCTTGTGGTTTTATTAATGGTTCAGAGTGCGTGTTCTTTGACCCATTAAGTTGTGTGAAACTTGCGCTCAGCTTTCTCGTCCGTTCATTGTTTACATTCAGTATTGGCGGCGCCCCTTGGAATATAACATGCTTATACTACAATAAAGAATACCGTACATATCTTCCACTTATATATGATGCTGTTTTAAGTGTAACTAACTATATTTTCATGATGGCTTACTGCGAGCTGGATCTATGAATGACCCCCATTGAGTGACTACAATACAGTGCACGACAACAATATAAATTATCGACCTTTTAGCTAATTGTCGTGCACAGACCAACAACCCGCGGGACGTCATTAGATAATTATACTCCCTGACTGTTGACGAATGATGAGAGGAATACGAGATGATGAAACATAAACTAAATAAATTCAACGATAGAGCTATGCGGAGAAAGAGTGATAGATACTTGTTGTGTTTTGTGATGTATATGGAGTAGTGTCGCCTGTTTGTGTACTTGTGCTAAGCCATTCTGCTTACCCACCTCACCAAGCCACTACACTATACTACCCTGTTTTACTAACCCACCCACCAGGCATCTAATTTAAGCCATCCTATCTAGCAAGCCTTTTTAACAAACCAGGATACTAAGACCTTCCTAAACGTCATTTGTATTAAGTAACCCCTTCAGTAACGTACATACACCCATACATTAAGCCAGTGTATTAAAACAGTATACTAAGCCTCTCTCCAATACGTCCAAACCCATACAGTAAGTCAGGCTATATCCTAATCCCCCTCTATTACGTCATAATAGTAAGTAACATCTTCAGTAATGTACCCAGACACTCTCACCTTAAGCTCCCCCCACCTTCAGGAGTACCGATGATCCCCCGCAAGATGGTGACGTCGTCTAACCCGGTGGTGGAGGTGGTGAGGGAGGGCGACCGCTGGACCATCCGCATGAACACTCTCATCAGGACCATCGAGTACAACTTTACCCCCGGCGAGGTTATCAGCTCAGAGACCATGGGTGGTTTGGCCCAGGTGGGTGGTAGGAGAGGGCGGGTGGGTGGTGAGAGAGGGTGAGTGGGTGTTGATGGTCATGAGGGCAGACGCTGGTGAAGTTGGATGGTAGAGAGAGGGTTGTTGGATGGTTGTGAGTGTGGGTGGGTTGACCGTCCGCACCCAGCAACAAGTAAACTGCGGTATAGGGAAGCATTTCAGATGGCACACACACACGCACACACACACACACACACACACGCGCGCAGGGGGTATGATCGCATTACCGGTATGCGTCAAAGTTAAGGGTTAAGGTTACCGGTGAAGACAGTCAGAAATAACTTCCTTATTCCCTTATCTCGGGAGGGTGGACGACTTGGGTTCAAAGGTCACATACTGACACCTTCAGCGTCGTTGGACTCAGATCAGAGACAAGGGTGGAGATAGTCTTAAATTAATACATTCTTCTCAGACAGTAAAAACATGTGAATTGTGTTTTCTGGAGATAGCAGATCGGAGTCGAATCGGCAAACAGTGGAAAGAAATGTTACCTGATATCTATCTCTCTCACTCTCTAGACGAACTAACTGAACTAAATATATTTTTTCAGAACGTGTTCACCATCGAGAACGACTGTATCAGGCAGACGCAGAGATCTGACACGTACACGACGGAGGTGATCCGGGAGTTCTTCGACGACAGCCTCGTCATGGTGGGTGTTGGTCCCTACTCCTCCCGCGCCTCTTGTGTTACCCGCGCCTCATGTATCACCCTCCCTCCGTGAGTCTGTACCTCCCCCCGCCCCGCAGTGCTTGTGTATTGTTTCCTAGAGGACTAAAATCCTACGCTAATATAATATAATGTGCCAGGTTAGGGGGACACAGACTCTCACTGGGTGACGCGACATTATAATACATCAGGTTCCTTTACTATCGAGTAAAATAAGTGAAGTCTCAAATTTATATTCTGTGCAAGTGTAGGTCGTAGAATAATGACAGTGAGTGAGCTCAAGATAGGTTGGATGGTGGTCTATAACACTGAACACAAATAACAACAATAACTCGCTGATAACAGGAATGAAAAAATGGTATTTATCTAAATGAGTGAGCTGTTCATCTGAACGTCCAGTACAAACTGCAAGGGTCATTCATGAGAAGTCTGCGGGTGTAACTCGCCTCGTTTGGGTATGTTACATCATTCTAGTTAACTAACATTTCACTCATTGTGCTAAGTTGTTGTTTCCCGTAAAATTCCTGATGTCTACCATTTTCAACTATTATCACATACAGATTTTCTTACGGTAGTTGTTTGATATGGACTATCCCGCTTTTATTATTTCCAACAAGTGATTGCTGTGTGGCTGCGCCGCTTGGCCGCCCGGCGGGGCAATACATATTACACGCCGATTAAGTTATAAAATATTTACACAATTCTGCTGTTTGACAGCTTATAAGTAAGGTGAGAATATATTGTGTTCAATTTTATCAAAATTTTATGAAATTATATATTAAATAGTGAAATAAACTAAAGTTCAAGACAGATGTAACTCACGCGCCATAGTTTCGATGGACCCTCTACCCCCTACTCCTGACTCGATGGAAGTCGTAGCCTTGGCTTCATACCGAACGCCCCCTCTCTCTTCCCCCTCCCACCCATCGTTCAGTGGTGCAATGTCGTAGCTCGAAGCTTCGCTGGATTGTACGATTAGCAGTTCATGATGTAATATTTGAGAGAATATATGCACGATACAGGTTTTTTTTAGTGACTTCACAACACTTTATTTACCATCACTATACTTCAATTCAATTCAATTTCAATTGTTTATTCCTTGATAGAGGAAGCGGGATCCTAGTGCTGTCACTAGGTACCCCTGTACAATAACACCAGAAGCATCTGGCAAGTGTGAAAAGTATATACAGTATAAATATTATAAAGGGGCTTACTAAAGCCTAAGGAAGGAAGGATGTTCCTTTATCACATAATTAATATTATTTACAAAATATCTGGCCAGTATTGGGAGGACACTATACTTAACATCACTATACACGAGGGACCGTTCGGTTTGCAGCCCTGACTACGACTTCCCTCGAGCCAGGAGTAGGTTTAGAGGGTGCATCGAAACTATGGCGCGTTAGTGTACTTAACATGGCAGATCAAGATTATAAGTAGCACCATTTGCCCGACCCGCCGTATTACCAGATTGTTTATCTTTGTTACTTTGTGTCAAAACTGTCCGGGTGATCTGTGCTGGAGACCTTGGTAGTTGACACGTTAATACACTCCAACAACAACAGCAACAGCCACCAGACTCAGCAGCGATTATTGTCCAGCAGGTGTAGTGAGTGAAGGTCTGGCTACAACTAATATTAAGACTTCTTCATTTGTTTTCCTGCCTGTATAATTTATCGTTAGCATTCTCTTGTATCACCACATTACATAAACCTCAGCCCCCTCCTGGTGTCTAAACTGTGTTAAAACAAACATTGGTGAAAATCCTGATGAACAAAAACCAAACAATAACACAAGTCTATAAAGTCAGTCATCCTGGACAGATACCCCCATATGTTCGATTAGAATCACACATATAAACTCATTAGTGAGTCATTGTGTCTGAGTCACCTGGACACTGGCGGAGAGATCTGCATGTTGTACTGTAAAGGTTAAGGAGAGGGTCACTTATTTTACTATTGTACTCTACTGGTCAGGATAGGTTAGGTTAGGTAGGGTTAGGTTAGGAGAGTCTTACACATGATTGTTGGAGAGGTTACTTATGGCTCTTATGCCGTCAGCTGGTACTCTTATACCCTCAGTTGGTACTCTTACCCTCAGCTGGTACTCTTATACCCTCAGCTGGTACTCTTACCCTCAGCTGGTACTCTTACCTCAGCTGGTACTCTTACCTCAGCTGGTACTCTTATACCCATCTTTTCCTCTTAATGAGCACTGTCAGCCCCTCATCCCACCAGGTAATAAAGGTTTGTTCAGAAGGTTTTGCTATTTGAACAGTGAAGATTGTCTGTATGATCAACACTGTCTAATATAATTAAACTGTGTTGGTTAATTTTCTACTGAAACAGACTTTTAGAAACAAGATCCATTTAAATGGTTTATCATTACAGATCATAATTTAGTATTATGAAACATTTGTTGTTTTATTGCAGAAAGCGAATCCTTAAAATTTACTTGATAGAATATGTTTTAGACTAAGTACAGTACGTTAAATTCCTTTATTACAGAGTACAAATTACGGCAAAGATCCGGCCAGTACTCGGTGACATAATGTATATTCCTCTTACAGACCTTAACTCACGTGGAGTCTGGGATCGTGTGTCACCGATACTTTAGGAGGATCTAACATCACCCAGTTTATGCTCTTATCTCAAGCGTGACTACAAAATGATGATCGAACACTAAGAAGTTGACGACTGTCTTCTACGCTGGTATAAAGGATGAAACATCACGGAGTTAAGGCTCTTCTCTCAAAAGTTATGATAAAGCAGGATCGATCATCACTGAGGTGACGTTCATCATCAGTATTTATACAAAAGGAGAAACTTACCACGGAAGTCACTCTCTTCTCTCAGTATTAACACAAAAAGAGGACCAAACATCACACATTTATACAACATTCTTCAGATTTCACGTAGTGTAGATTTTAGTTCAGCAAGAATTATAAACAGTATTATATTTTAAGTTGATTGCAGTTTTAAGTTCTGAACTGAAAATCTGAGACAATAATTTTACTGTTAAGTTTTATTGCTATTGAGAATAGTAGTTGGAGTTAAGCCAGAGTTGAGACACAAACAACTGAGATGGACCGGTGGAATGGTGTCTGATTGGCTGATACTCTGTCCTGGGAGGAGCGAGAAAAAAAACCTTACTTTTGTGCATTTAATTTCATGTCAGTCAGAAGAAAATAGAATTAATATTATCTGGTCGGTCATAGAATTATTGGAGTGAGGCGGTCGAGCGGATACAACGTTCACCTCCTGTGCCGGGGAAGCGACTCCCGGGCGCTCCCAGTTCACCCAGCTGTAAATGGGTACCTAAAAAGCATACTATAATTTGGGGAAGTGAAGGCTGTCGAGTACCGGCCATGCTACCCTCTTGTGTGCTGGATCCATACTGTCCGTAATGGGCAGTCATGCTTATGGGACCCACTTTCACGTTCAATAGAATTATTGGTGATCAATCAATTTAAATGCTAAACTCTAGGATACTTAGTCATAAATACAGCGGGATAATGAATAGTTTGTACGTCAGCCAATGAGAAAGATGTGCAGCAACAAAGTTAACTCATATAAATATTTTACACAATATACAGCTGTTTTGTATAGGTGATAGAATCTATGATATTTTATTTAATTCATATCCTTGATAATATTCCCGTTTGCACCGGTCAGGACATGTTTGTTTTTATCACAGGGTCTAATAATCAGCCAAAACTGCCTGTAGGCGGTGCCACACAGGCACGTGTACCAGCATTTTTCGCTTTCGGCTGTGGTTTTACCCGCAGCTTTTAAGAAATGTGTTCACACGACGGGAATACTATTATCACTGGAAACGCAGTGGAGCTGCTGGAGCCAAACCAGAACAGTAACAAGATTGATGCCTATGAAGTCTTTGGCGATGAACTGTTAGCACTTACAACTTTTGCTTTGCATTGTGTTAAGTGTAAACGTGAGAAGAAACGCTTGTGGACTATTATAGTTCCTGAATGGCGAGAACAAAGAAAGTTTCGTCTTGAACTGCAGAATCAGATTAAACTAACAAGATTATCCCTAATTAACACTATTTTTTTTCAATAAATTTCCACATGTGTATATAAATTAAAGTTCCATTCATTGTGGAAATAAAAAGATAAATGCTAGTAAGCGGACAAGGAGGAAGATGTATACAACTGAGTCAAATTATCTATTGTACATTTTATTAATATTTTTTTTTATTTCTTTTAACTTTTAATATAATACAATAGTGGTTTTCGAAAACCAGCCTCTATTACTAGTGTGACGCCGCCTTTATGTTATGCAGGCCAAGGACTAAAAACGGTATTTTATCCTTGGTTTATACCACCTGCCTATAATTAGGAAATTGAACTTAGATGCTTATGGAATGTTGCTATTATCTTAGTATAATAACATAAAGCATGACAAAAAAATGTGCGGAGTGTGTTTTGAGGAGCAATGATTGCACCGTCACAGAAGAACTACCAGAGAATAAATGATGTTACATCTAGCTAATGTTCCGACGATATGTTTTTAGAACTTTACCTTACTTCAGTGAACAGTAAATGCACGTGATAAGTAAAATACTTTAGGACTGTAATTATGCATTATAGAAACTCATGCTAAAATAAAATAAAAAATCTGTGCTATTATAGTCACTCCATTATTGTCTACAAGGAGCGAATAGTAAGCTTCAGAAGAAAAAAAACAGCTAATCTATTATGTAACCAAAATGTTTTATTTCAACCTACTGACATGATATACGCTGCCAGAGAATTTAATTTAGGCGTTGGGTGTTACCTTTTGTAATATCTATTTTAAATTTTATCTTATATACTAATATAAGTATATATCAGTATATAAGTATATACATTGCCAACATTAGCGGTTGCTATTATGTTAGACGATCTGTCGATCACGCCTGACAGTTAGCAGTAGCGCACCGCCCCACGTGAGCGGCGGAAGTGAGAGGTGGGGGTGCGTGGAGTTTTGTGTGAGGCAGCCGAAGCCTGCGGAAATAAACAATTGTAGTTTGCACTTGATCTAGAGGATTGTTGGAGTGGTAAGTTTTTATCTGGAAAATCAATATTTGTTGTTTATTAGCGAGTTGTTCAGAAACAAGTTTTTGTTTCCAGTGACAAAAAAAAAGGATATTAGCTTCGGCGTGATCTTGAAATCACTTGGCCTCTTGTAAAGTGAAACAAGTTACGTAACCATGGACCAAATTCACCATTTACATGTTTGATTTAACGTTAATTATAATTAGTTATCCTTACACCAATTATAAACTGAGAAAATAATTAAAATAGTAAATCTCAGTTTTGTCAAGGTTGGTGAGAGTCGGTCACTTGCTGGCAGACACACGTGACCACATTTCTCACAATATGCAGTAGATTTCAATTGGTCCTCAGTTTCAGAATTTCGCACGACAACTAATGCCAGTAATTGGTTGACTTAAACAATTGCACAAATTTATTCCAGAATGAACCATGAAAACTACGCTGAAATTACCTGAACTAGGTACGTTCATATAACACCCGTTATAGCAAGAAAAAATGCTGATTATTTTTACAAAGATTCCTTGAGATTCTTGTCATTATTGTATATCTAGCAGCAGGTTGACTCATTCCAGCACCAGTGGTAAAGTTAAACAAATAAAACTATATATACTGTATATACTATAGGTTCCGTCGTCTTTAAGTATTATATCGGTGGCCACAAGTCACCAAGCCATTTGTCACGAAATTACTGCAATCATACAACGGGATAGTCGTTTGTCTCAAAGTTCATATTTTATTTTCAGCAGATAAAAAACAACCCGTATTTAAGTGAATTAACCTTTAGTACTGCACGAAAAAATAATTAACTTATCCCAAAAGTGGTGACAGGTAAGGACTCTTGCATTTCTAAACTACCTAGAATATAATAGTGTCTGGCAAGAGTTACGCCATTACTAATATTTCAAAACTGAAGGAAAGTAAATCATAAAATTTTGTTGGTCCACCACCATCTCGATGTAATAAAACACCCATTATTCTATATATAAAAAGTAAAAAATTCATAGGTTAGCGGCTTCAGTGTTCTTTACTTATTACTAAAGCTAAGTTTAACCCGACAATAGTCGTAACTTATAAGGTCTATTTCTTTCTGCACAAATAAAAAATAAATATACAGTATATCATGTATTTCATTGCATAATATTGTACTGTACTAACCTCAGGAAATATATCCCATGAGAAATAATAAAAAAAATTCTGCATCAATGTGCTATATAAGAACTCAACTAACTTTTGCCAGTAATTAATTTAAATTTTGTTAAAAGTGGAAGATAATGATATTTCCAATTACACTCCTTTCAAAACTCGGATACTACCTTTATTGGAAAGTAAACAAAAAATAATAACTTTGGTTAACCTAAATACGAATTTTTATTTTGTTTTAAATAATTTGTAAGTCTCCCTGTAAAAACTAAATATTTTAATTGTTTTCCTTCACACTTTGTATTTATATATCTATAAGAGCGGTAGACACACTTCAGTTCAGTCTTACAAGTTAAATTTACAAGTAAAAAATATGGAAGTGATTAATTATGTGGGTGTGTAGGTGGTTCGGTATTAGAACAAACTACTTTTTTGCAGTTATGTTCAGTCTCGATAGACTCTTTAGAGGATTATACAAACCCTTGGCTCCCTTACCTCTACAGAGGTAAATTAAAAACATATGTAAGCCCATTACTTGTGTAATAGTGAAATAGCCCAAAATTATTAAATTAATCCTTTGTGAAAGTTGTCGAAATGGTGAAACTAATACCCTGTATCAAAATTATAGTTTGCTTTTGTCGTGCAGTAATAATATCAGGTGTATGCGAGTACTTGTACTAAGTATTTTCCAGTCCGCTTTACGGTACAGTAGTACTTATATCATGAATATATACCTTCGTTAAAAGCCAATTTTGGAGGAAATGTAATGACAGTCATCACTGTTTCCTATTACTTCAGTTGATATAATTAATAATGCAACAGTTATGTGGAATACAGATTAAACCAAAGAGTTTAATAAAGTATCCTCGCCGTCGTTAACATTGCACAGGTGACTGTCAGGTTATTTGAGTTGATCTATATGAATTATCTTTTGTCACTGTACAGAGCCTTGTGGTAATAATAAGGCTGTGCGCAAAATTGCTGTGATTCGGCTCCGGTAAAGTACCAGTGAAAAACGAAACCGCATGACTGACTTGTACTGTACTTATCATTTGGACGCGCCACTGCCCCATAAATATGCAATAAGCTTGCTAAATTATTGAAACCTTTCCAACGAAATTAAAAACCTTCAGGTTTTTTATTAGTATTTATGACATGATATACTACACTTCTATTTTTTGTATTGTTTTAATAAGCGAAGAAAATTATCAGGAAACATCCGGTGAGATTTGTACACCAAATCTCTCGCTTTCCAGAACGCATTCGTGCTCTTTAAAGAAAACGAAAAAGAAAACGTTGTTATTGAAAGGGTAACTTTTAAAAGTAGCAACCTTTTAAGGAGGTGAGTTTAATTCTTTATAATTTAGAGGCTATGGAACTTACCAACCCTGAACGACTTTTTTATATTTGTTATAGATCTGAATAAGTAATAGCCTGTATTTCATTTCAGTTTTTTTCTAATTATGACCTTCATGCCACAGGTATAAGAGTTTTAACCGTATGGACACAGGCGCAGTGAGGTGCAGCGTCACTAAGAATACAAACCAATTTAAGCTAAGACTATTAGTTTTAATTGGTTCATGTCTGTTGTCATTATATATATATTTTTTTTTTTTGGGGGGGGGGCTACGTAAACCCTCCAGCAGAACAAGAATATTTAATTGAGACTCATCCAAGTCGGTAATCGCAACATTTATATTCTAAAGTATTAGAAGCATCCGTCAGTCATGAGGCAGGCAGGTTCCATGTTATCCTATGTGCACCCTGCGTGTTTCCACGGTTTTAATAATATTGCAGGAATATGTCGACAAGTCGGCTTTTCAGGGCTGATAATAATCGTAAGAAAATATGAAACAAAAAGGAAAACGTATGTAATTGTAATGATTTTATTCGGCAACATATACCTTTGGTTCGTGGAATAAAAATAAATAGTTTAAATAAGATATTGGTAAACCATATTTTTTTTCCATTTGAAATATTAAAAGAAAATCTTAGTAAACAGTTTGATGTTTCTCGAATGCAATATTCAGACTAAACCTTTTCGTAACTTCTCGGCTTGCAGTACTTCAATAAATCCTGGACACAGTTTCTCGCCTGGAAATACGTACAGTATCGTCAACCTATTTGCGAGGGCGGAAATCCTAGATTATGATCCCGAGTGCCAAGTTGTGTTGTTCCCTTAGGAGTAAGGTAACACCATCTTGCCTGACCAAATGCTTGCCTTTATTTCCGAAAACATTTAACTTAAACGCTAGTTAGCTTGATAAGAAGGGCTGGCTGGGACAGCAGCCAGTGATTTGGTATAAATAATACTTAAAAAACAAAGCTAGTCAAGTGTCTGATGATTTTTGAACAGGTCAAAATCTAATTTGTACATTGTAAAACGACAATTTAAGAAATACTAATAGGTTGGTAAAGCTTTACGAATTTAACGAACATTTACATGAAGGCCGAAAACATGGACTAATTCCTCCAACAACGTCAGACTGTACAGTATCTGATGATGGGATCCAATAGGTATATTAATTTTTTATTTCTAAATATTTGAGGAAAACTAAAGAAATGACGTGTGCGGGTATACCTGTAGTGATGGAGGCTGGTGAAGTGTAAAGGTGGCGTAGTAAGCCTAAAAATTAAATGTCACTTTTTTGTATGAAAAATATAGCGAACTCATCCTCAATTATTTTATATTTATTTTATAAGTCAGTTGTGACACTGGAACAAGGTAAATAAGCAAAAAAGGTAATAAATGTGCCCTTGCTCATCATGTATTTCAAACCACCCGGATAAAACTTACATTTTTATTGGACCTAAATATTAATTAGTATTTAATTATCCTGAAACTATTGTGTCGTGAAATTAGGTTATATATATATACAAATTGTTAATAGAAAAATGAATTGCGGAAAAACAAATTTGAAGAAAAATAATCACGAAGTGATGTATGGCTTCAGTCTGGGTATCACTAAAATTGAATGGCGGTCCTGCATAATCCTTCCCTCAGCCTGGCCGGGTCTACTGTTACATGGCTGTTAATAAAATCCAACCTTTATGTCTCGGGAGAGGTTTACAGCCACCCACGGTATTCTTAAAACTTATAAACTGACACACCAACACCGCTAACGTCAGCCAGGCTTGGTTATGATTATTATTATTGTTTTTCAACATGTAGTTGCTCAGACTCGCCTGTTGGCTAACAATGTTCAGTAGGGCACCACAACACGCCAGCCAAAGTGCATCATCCATATTCTAAGTAAGTTATGTATTCACCTTCTGGTTCATTATTATCCATGAGTGAGTTTGCAGGATGTTATAAAATCGTTCCTTGTCCAAGCCCGCCGCCTCCTTCGTGTAACCATGGTAACTTCCAGTGGAGTTTCAAAATGTTAAACTTGTGACGTGCAATACATTGGTTCCCCCTGATAGCTCGGACGGGTCCATGCAGTAAGAGACTCGAAATCATTAGAATCGATGATTTGTGCCATTTTTCTTACTTGATATTACCATAAACAGCATCAACACTGGTG